AGGCAGGATCCAATCCAACTGGATCCTAGTAGGACCATGATCCTATTCGACTTAGCAAAATATACATTTCTATAACTATGATGAAATTCAACGCTAATTTAATATTTATCTTGACAAAAAAATAGTTGATTTTTTTGTAAATCATAGAGGACTTAGTAACATTATTCTCAGTCCACACCGTTATTTCAAATAATATTTTATCACGTTGCAATCGTGTCTATGAGATCCCATACATCATTTTTCACATTAATATATTAGAATTATGCTTATTAGAACCTTTTGTACAAATTGCTTAAGATATTAATATTTTTTCTAAGATCAAAAGGCTAATAAGTCACTCTGTTCCAAACTATAAGTTATTGTAACTTTTCTAGATACGTGTTAAAAGCTATGTATCTAAACATAATATTGATTTAGATGCATAACAGAAGCTATATACCAAGAAAAGTCAGAACAAATTATAATTTGGAATGGAGAGAGTAGATCTCTAAGGATCATGTCGAGCTCACACAGGATCATGATAGAGCCGGATAAAAACCACTTCAGCTTTATCGTAAAATTCTACGATCTAATCAGTATCCTGAGAACTTTTCTTACAAACTCATCTTTAAGGCAAGTGTTGTTTGGCGACAATTGGTTGTACATTTCCTGTAGCAGCTCAGAGCAACTCCAAGAGTCTCTCTAAATTCTTCCTTATTGATAGGAATAGGCAATTTGGTTAAAAAATGTCTCTAACAACTTCTTTAAATCGATCTCCAAATATTGTTATCCTCTATTCTGGATTTCTTGCTAACAAAAAATGAGAGCAATATTAGCTCTCTAGAGTGCACACAAAATATAGAAAATTTGTTGGAGATTAGAAAGATATAGAGAGCGATTTTTATTCAAATAACTCTTCAAATGATGATTTAGAGAATAGGTTTAAGAAAGTCTCTTCAAGTTGTTGTCATAGCTGAAGACGGGGATTGACTTGCGCCGACTGACTTAGAACACTAGAACAAGCCTTTCTATTGGGCACAATCAAGGCAATGCTTCTTCCCATTCGTTTCTGATTTATTAGTGCAAAATCTACTATGCCACCAGTCGCCTGGAGAGTAGATGGTGCGACACTGCTACCCATGAGCCCAAGGCCCTCATGCCCTCCACTGCCGCTGACATCGGAGACGATCAACTCAACAACATTAGGGTTTGGGGTTATAACTCAGCAATGCATTCATCTCCGAGGCAGCCGCACAGCGCACAGGACTTCCTCTGCAGCACCGTCCTCATCTGACGGCCACGGTGGCCAATGGCGAGCGCGTCTCCTGCCTGGGCGTCATCCGCCAGGCCGCGCTCACCATCAGCGGCGACACCTTCGCCACAGACCTATTCGTCGTGCCTCTCGCCGGCTACGACGTGGTCCTCAGCACGCAGTGGCTCGCGTCACTGGGGCCGATCCTCTGGGATTTCCGCGCGCGGATGATGACATTCAAGTGGCATGCGCGTGACGTCTGCTGGCACGAGATGGCAGGCCCTGTCGCACCCGGCCTTTGCGCAACTACTGCCAGCGCCACCCTGCTGGACGAGCTCCTCGACTCCTTCTCCAACGTCTTCGCCGAGCCCCATGGGCTACCTCCTCCTCGCAACCGAGACCACAGCATCATCCTCCTGCCAGGATCGCAGCCTGTGGTGGTCCGCCCCTACCAATACCCGGCGACGCACAAGGATGAGCTGGAGCGGCAATGCGTCGCCATGCTAGACCAGGGGCTCATACGCCGGAGCTCCTCGGCCTTCTCTTCCCCGGTCCTCCTCGTCAAGAAGGCCGACGGGTCATGGCGTTTCTACGTCGATTACCGCGCCTTGAATGCGATCACCATCAAGGATGCTTTTCCCATCCCGGTGGTTGATGAGTTGCTGGACGAACTCCACGGCGCCAAGTTCTTCACCAAGCTAGACCTTCGCTCGGGCTACCACCAGGTCCTCCTGTGCCCCGCCGACATCGCCAAGACGGCGTTCCGCACACACGACGGGCTATACGAGTTTTTGGTGATGCTGTTTGGGCTGTGCAACGCTCCGGCCACGTTCCAAGCACTGATGAACGACGTCCTGCTCCCTTTCTTTTGCCGGTTTGTGCTCGTGTTTTTTGATGACATCCTCATCTACAACTCATCTTGGGCGGATCATCTCCGGCACCTCCGTGCCGTCCTCACCATGCTGCAGCAGCACCGACTCTTCGTCAAGCGTTCGAAGTGCGCTTTTTGGGTCGCCTCCAGCTCCTACCTGGGGCATGTCATCTCTGAGGCCGGCGTCGCCATGGATCCCGCCAAGGTGTAGGCGGTCCAGGACTGGCCCAGCCCCACTCGGCACGTGCAGTACGGGGCTTCCTTGGCTTGGTGGGGTACTACCGCAAGTTCGTCCACGACTATGGCACCATTGCGGCTCCCCTCACGGCGTTGTTAAAGAAGGAAGGGTTCCGCTGGACTCCCGACACCACTGCGGTATTCCAGGCCCTCAAAGTCGTGATCACCTCGGCTCCGGTTCTGTCCCTGCCAAACTTCGACAAGCCGTTCATCGTCGAGTGCCATGCGTCGACCCACGGGTTCGGGGCAGTGCTCATCCAGGAGAAACACCCGATCCCTACTTCAGCCGGCCCATCGCGTCGCGACACCGTTCCCTCGCAGCATACGTTCCCTCGCCGCATACGAACGAGAATTGATCGGTCTCGTCCAAGCCATCCGTCATTAGCGTCCGTATCTCTGGGGACGTCGCTTCCTGGTGCGCACGGACCACTATAGCCTCAAATTTCTCCTCGATCAGCGCCTCGCGATGATCCCACAGCATCACTGGGTCGGCAAGCTCCTCGGGTTCGACTTCACCGTTGAGTACAAACCCGACGCTACGAACACGGTGGCTGATGCCCTCTCGCGCCGCGACACTAAAGAGGGCACTGTCCTCGCCATCTCCGCGCCTCAGTTCGACTACATCGAGCGCCTCCGCCAGGCTCAGGACACCGATCCGGCCCTCGTCGCCATCTGGAACGAGATCACTGCAGGCACCCGGGCGGCGCCGTGGTCCCTCATCGACGACATGGTGGCCTATGATTCCCACCTCTACGTTCCGCCGGCGTCCCCACTACTGCCGGAAATCATGACCGCCGTGCACGAGGACGGCCACGAGGGTGTGCAGCGCACCGTGCACCGCCTCCGTCGTGACTTCCACTTCCCCAACATGCACCGCATGGTACAGGATTACGTCCGAGCTTGCTCCACCTGCCAGCGATACAAATCGGAACATCTTCATCCGGCTGGCCTGCTCATGCCGCCGCCGGTCCCGAAGGCAGTCTGGACCGACATCGGTCTGGACTTCGTGGAGGCGCTGCCACGCGTCGGGGGAAAATCTGTCATACTGACAGTGGTGGATCGTTTCAGCAAGTATTGCCACTTCATTCCCCTGGCTCACCCGTATTCTACAGAGTCAGTGGCCCAGGCTTTCTTCACCGACATTGTTCGACTCCACGGCATGCCTCAGTCGATGGTGTCCGACCGCGATCCGGTGTTCACTTCCAAGTTCTGGAGGGAGCTGATGCGCCTCATGGGCGCTAAGCTGCGCATGACAACGGCTTTTCATCCGCAATCGGATGGCCAGACGGAGGTAGCCAACCGCGTCATTGTCATGTACCTTCGCTGCTTCACCGGCGACCGGCCTCGTCAGTGGCTTCACTGGCTGCCGTGGGCGGAATACATCTACAACACGGCCTATCAAACTTCGCTCTGCGCCACGCTGTTCCGGGTGGTCTACGGCCAAGACCTGCCTACCATTCGGTCCTATGAGCCGGGCGAGACTCGTGTCGCTGCCGTCGCCAAGAGCATGGCAGACCGCGACGAGTTTCTAGAGGAGTCCGCTACCAGCTTGAACAAGCCCATGCGGTATAGAAGCTACACTACGACAAGCTGCACTGGCACGTCTCCTACGTGGTGGGCGACTAGGTTCTACTCCGTCTACGCCATCGCCCGGCCGCCTCACTACCCCAGGCGACCACAGGGAAGCTGAAGCCCCACTTCTTCGGGCCGTACCACGTCACCGAGCTCATCAATGAGGTTGCCGTGCGCCTCGCCTTGCCTCCACACACTTGGCTGCACGACATCTTCCACATCGGCCTCCTCAAGAAGTTCATCGGTGATCCGCCAGCTACACCGCCACCATTCTCGGTCATCCACAACGGCGCTGCTGTTCCGGAGACCGAACGGGCAATGCGCATCCGCCTGGCTCGTGGCGTTCGACAGGTGCTCATCCAATGGAAGGGCGAAACCGCAGCCTCTGCAACCTGGGAAGATGTGGACTCCTTCCTCCACATGTACCCGGCGTTCCAGCTCGAGGACGAGCTGCTAGTCGAGGGGGGGGGAGAGATGTCATGTGGGGCCACGCCTATACATGGAAACGGCGCGCCCGGGATGGCCGCAGAGCCACTGAGGATTTGGGCGCGGTCACCATGCAGGCAGGCACGCCAGCTGAGGATATGGCGTGATCACCCAGCATGCAGGTCAGGAAGAAATGGCAAGTAGATAGAAGAAAATAATAGGCGATCAAGGCCTTAGAATTAGGAGCAATTAGCTCCAATTTATAGTGCTGAATGGCCTATATATAAGAGTCATCAGGATGAATAAGAATCAAGCAAGAATTATTACCTAATCTCTCTTCTTCTTCCTCCAAACCGACTGGAGCTGAGGGGCAAAACCTTGCCCAGCTACCACGGGTCGCGGCTACGAACTCCATAGCCGGGGTCCTGCTAGTCTCGGACCTGACATCCTTGACATAGCTCACCTTTGGGACACCTAGTCCCCTTTGAAACCATGTACATGAAGTCGAATCAACCTAGACATAGATTATCAAGGCCTAAAAGGAATTGGACAATCTTTTTTACAGCTTACAAGAGGACTTCATAATCTTGAGAACTCTATGGTCAACCACTTCACACTTGATCTTGACTATCTTAAGGTGTTCTGAAATTGCAGTTGATCTCTTCATCCAACTGACGCGTAGTTTGATTTCCACTTTATGTTTAAACCACTGCAGAGAACAACCGAGCATGATCAACTGTCAACTAATAACTCTACAAAGTAGCAGTTCAGCATTTGTAAAGTGCATACCATGTTGTGGAGTTCAAAAGTAAGCTTCTCTAGAACAGGTGAGTGTTCAAAAATGCACGCTAGTGCATGGAAATCATCAGGCACATACCAGTAGCCATTCAGCAACAAGGTCTTTAGATTTGTAAACACAGGGCACCATCTCAAATCTCTTTTTAAAATAAACTGCACAAAGTGCAAACAACATAGATCAAATAATCAACACTCTGAACATATTTGATTCATAACCATAGTCGGCGGCGCATGCAAAAGAAAAAGAAGCAACATATATCAAATTTCAACTTGACGACACCTAATACAAAAAAAAGGGTTAAAGATGAAACTTTAAAGTAAAACTATACCACGTCAGATGCAGATTTCAACACCAAGCTCTTAGCCTCCGATAAACCTCTTAGAAGCACACAGTTGATACTGCCATTAGCTGTGCTATCAGAACTATCACAAGATTCACAATCACAAGTCCAAAAGTAATTTGCATTAGTGCAGCGGTCCCTACACGCCCCTGTTATTTTGACCGATGCCTCAAGTAATGAGGGCATCCCCTCAACAATGGGAGTCCTCCCTCCAAGATGCTCAAGGCGCAGTGAGGCAACATTTGGGGTGTAAATGTTGATGCGAGAATCAGAGCTGCCTATGGAAAAAATGATGATAAGATGTTTCAGGGACTCGTACACAATCTTGTTGACCGATGACAACTCACAATCCATGAGCTTTAGATGATCCAAGGATGGACAGTTTGTAAAGTTAAGTGTGGACCTGTACACCAGCGAGCTCCAGCCTCCTCAGGTGCTGCGAACAGTGCCGGTCCTAGGATTTTAAGGGCCCTCTGGCGATCTCGTCGCAGCGGCCCTCTTGACCATCCGGCGATCTCGTCGCAGCGGCCCTCTTGACCATCCGGTGATCTCACCATCCGGCGATCTCGTCGCAGCGGCCCTCTTGACCATGTATAAAATCTTATAATATATAGGTGCTAATTTTACTGGTTAAACGAAAGCAAATTCAATAACATATTTTTAATTTAACATGTCTGATAATTATCGAGGAACAATGTAGATTAGACAATATATTTGTAGATTTATGATAATTATCGAGGAATAATGTAGATTAAAAAAGCAATATATTCGTTTTCTTTTCTCACCCATGACAAATGTTTCTTTGGTAACATTCTAAAATTCTAACACCTAAATTAGAAGAAAAATATGACTATATGGGTACAAAGTACTAGAAGTCTATAATACTATACAAATAATTAATTTGGATTAAAAATAAAAAGAAAAAAAATACTTTAGACCTAAACAACTGATCGGTGATCTCAATTTATAAGAAGCCCAGAATCAAGATGTCGTCGTCGTGGAGCCCTGCCTGGTCGCCGTCCTCGTGCGCCATGTCCATGTCTCCGGTAGTCTAGCTCTTCGCGGCGGCGCGGCTCGCCAGCTCCGCGTGTGTAAGGCGCACGTCGCGAACTCACGATCAGAGTGTGTTGTGTGTAGTGTGACTCCTCGTCTCCTCTCTATCCGAGGGCCGTGGGGAAAGGAAACTAGGAAAGAAATGACAATGTTGTCTTTTTTGGTCGCCTGACCAGTTTTATGTCTCTCTTCTCATTAGTTTGTTAATGCCTAATGAACTATAGGATCTGCAGATTTATATATCTGAGTTTGGGCCCCTCCTCTGCTTGGGCCCTTAGCCGTCGCACCTGGTGGCCTACCCCTAGGGCCGGCACTGGCTGGGAGATGAGAGGCAGGATGTCTAGTGGAAGAAAGGGCTCATCCTGACTGCGTACAAACATAGAGAGCCTGAGAACATGAACTTTGCACATCACAACATGCTGGAACCAGAGGTTTACGTGGGACACATCATCATGGCTGCTGAGCTGAGCATTGAACGCGAAATAGCATTTCTCGAGGGGTGAGTCTCTGCAGAGGAGCAGCAGATGGTTCACCAAGCTCCGGAGAGCCTCCACAGACTCCGGTTGATCTGGGTCGACGGACCCCACCCACAGGCCCGTGGCGGATTTCCTGAGGTGGCGCCATCTACGGGCAAGGACACTAGTGCGGACGGCCTCCTCAGATGGCAAGAAGCCAAGGATGTGTTCAAGGACTCCATCAGGCAGGGATTCAATGCCCCCGCTACCACCAGCGGGCTGCAGCACCGCTCCCTTGGCCGTTTTCCCTTGAGGCATTTTGCCGAACAGCAACCGGGCCTTGGCACTGCAGGACAAGATACGGTCAGAAGAAGAGGATCAGTTATGCTGGGAGATTTACATTTTCACCATTATTAAGATTGGCACTCATCCGAATATCACTTCTAGGATGGCACTTACAACTTTACTAGATGAGAGAAATTTTTGTTTTAGATTTACCACATTTGCGCATGTGGCATGCCACGCCAGCTAAACACATTGGCGCCTAGTCAACATAGGCACGTGAAATGTCCTTGCTGCCCCTGCCTGGCTCCTCTCTCCCCCTCTCCGACAACCAGGTCCCGCAACTCCTATCGCTGCCATGTGGGCCCCACTCATCAGCTTCGTCTTCCACCTCGAGCACTATGACCCAACCAGTGGCCTCGGATCCGGAGATTCCGCAGACACACATGAGTGCCTGCCAGTGCCACCCACACACACCTTCATGTACCGTACTAGGAGTAGTACACTTTGCAATGTCAGGCTTGTCAGCAGCTCAGTTATGCTTTGGGAGTGAAGCACAGTGTCAAGTGTAGTGCTTGCTGTCTGGCGACTTGGCAGGTGGTCGGAGAGCGGCAGGAGTCAAACTTGAAGCAGGTGGAGGACCGCGTGCGCAGCGCCGCTGCTGCTGCTGCGATGCGCGCTAGTCATGGCGTGCGTGGGCGGCGTGCTGGCCGCGGACACGCAGGGCGCGGCGTTGCTGGCGTGGAAGCGCACGCTGCGGGGCGGCGCGGAGACGCTGGGGGACTGGAGGGACACCGACGCGTCGCCGTGCCGGTGGACGGGCGTGTCCTGCAACGCCGCGGGTCGGGTCACGGAGCTCAACCTGCAGTTCATCGACCTGCACGGCGGCGTCCCGGCCGACCTGTCCGCCTCCGTCGTGGGCGCCATGCTGACGCGCCTCGTGCTCACGGGCACCAACCTCACGGCCCCATCCCGCCGCGGCTCGGGGACCTGCCGGCGCTGGCGTACGTCGACCTCAGCAACAACGCTCATGGGGTCGATCCCGGCCACCCTGTGCCGGCCCAGGAGCAGGCTCGAGAGCCTCTACCTCAACTCCAACCGCCTCCGGGTCCATCCCGCCACAGCTCGGCAAGCTCAGCAACCTCAAGAACCTGCTCATGTGCAATGTCCGGACACCGTTGCTGGAGCTGGAAGACGAAGCTGACGAGTGGGGGCCACCTGGTAGTGACAGGAGCTGCAGGACCCGGCTGTCAGAGAGGGAGAGAGGAGCAAGGCAGGGGTAGCAAGGACATTTCACGTGCCCATGCTGACTAGGCACCAACGTGTCGAGCCGGCGTGGCATGCCACGTAAATCTAAAACTAAAACTTCTCTCGTCTGGTAAAGTCGTAGGTGCCATGCTAACAGTGATATTCGGACGAGTGCCAATCTTAATAATGGTAAAAATGTAAATCTCCCAGTTATGCTGAGGGCAAACAGACGAGAGGCGGCGAGGGAGACGGAGACCTGGCTGGAAGGCTGGTGCCGGCCTCACCTCACTGTCGGCGGCAGCACTGGTCTCGCAGACAGCCCATGTCCTTGGTCGCTCACGCACTGGCCTCTGGCCGGCTGGGGCAGGCCGTCACCCGCCTCCGCTTTGCTGGCTGGCAGCCATGCGCCCGGACCGGCTGGCACCCGGCCGTCTGGCAGCCGGTCGCCTGCACGGCTGGACGCCGACGGCCCTGACCGCGCCGCGCCCCAGTTCAGCCTGATGCCCACGCCGGTGCCGCTCCCTCGCTCCTGCTCTTCTGCTCGCTCGCCCCGCTAACCCTCTGTCCGGTGAGCAGTGGCCGCTAGGGTTTGGATTCGGGCGATTCGGGAGGATTGGGGATTTTGGGCATCGGAGAACTTCGCGAATTGGTTACGCACTTCGGTACTTGTGGAGAAATAGGCCCAATTAGGAAAACACTCGCTGTCCACTTGTGCGCTGCCCAAAGTTGCGATTTGCTCATCATTTTTACAGGCACCCACGAGCATACCGGTGCCAATTGCTGAACAAGCTCGGCGACGGTAGAAAACGGACGGGAAAAATCCTGTTTCAACCCATCCCGTTTTCTATTTTGTTCCGCCCATTTCCGTATTTGTGGGATCCCGTTTCTGTATTTACAAAACGGGAGAGGGGTTCGCTCATTTATGTGGAATCCCGCTTTTATCCGAAATTGACCCATATTTATTCCGTTTTTTCATCCCGTTTTCAATCTATGTGAGATATGTCTAGAAATTGATATGGTTGTAAACCTACTAATCACAAATTATGTTAGCATGTTAACACATGGCATGCTAGTGAATATTGGATCGATAACTTCGTACGTGTATACTGTCTTGTGACTTCGTTCATGTATACACGAGAAAATTTGATCATGTTATTCTAACTCAATTTTTCGGCTCTTCATCCGTATTTGTCAGTTTCCGTGTTTCCGTATATCTCCATCCGTTTTTATCCCATTTCTGCTAAAAATATAGAAACGGAAACGGTAGAGGAGTTTTTTTGCCCATTTCCGCCCGTTTTCATCCCTATAGGGGACTCCAGTAGACATGGCAATGAGTATCCCAAACCCAAGTATCTGATGGGTATGGATGATTTTCCTACCCACAGGTACGTTAATGGGTGGAATCCTCTACCCATAGGGTAAGGTAGGTGCGGGTGTGGATGTTGGTATATATTACCCATACCCGTCTACCTATAGGTAATAAATACATGTATATACAACTAGTCCCCTACTAAATTTGATCCATATAGTCCAAGTATTTGGTCCAAGCCTAACAACATGCTGATATACATAATGGTCGACATACCTATAACCCTAGCTCTCATTTCTCCCTCCCAATCTCCCAGCCACCACAAACCATACACTCGCATCTCACCCCTCCACCGCTCAAACACCCTCCAGTTCATCTATATCTTTCTCCTCTGCAAGACTAGTGCTTCCCCTCTCGCCGTGCCACGTTGCAGGAGCAGCTATATCTGTGCCGAGCCAAGCACCGCGCTTGGTAGAGGTGTCGACTTTGAGTGCCTGCCGGTTCCTCCCCGATGAACACTACAGCTTGCGCCAAACCTACATGGCCACCTCTGCACAGAATCAAGATCGAGGTCTCACGAAATCAGGGTCGAAGACTCAGAGCATCACACATGGTGATGCAGTTGCGGCAGCGCACAACATCGACACCCACCGCCCACGTGCTCGCACAGTACCGCCGCACGGGTGTGAAGTCAAGTGCGGGTTACCCCGTCGGGTAGCATTATCTGTGTGGATGCGGGTATGGTGATATTTCCTACTCGCATGTAGGGACGGGTAACCCGACAGATGAAATTTCACTTATTGGGTACGAGTATGAGACAACATTATCTGTCGGGTACTTACCTGTTGCCATCCCTAGACTCCAGACCCCTCTGTCGTGAGAGGATGATTGAAACCATCTAGGACGGTCTCAATCAATGGGGACTATATGGCAAGGGTGGTTTGGTCATTTCAGGTGGCCTGAGAAATGAAAAGAGAGGAAGTCTAAACACAAGGTTGAATTTCTAATGACGAGCGAATTGAATGTTAAAAGTGGTGGCGTGTGCATTTGATGTTAAATATCGTAATTTCTATGCTGAGGCGTGTAGCCTGAGGAGCGTGTGTTTTATGTGTGGAAAAAAATTGGGTGGAGGCTGGCGGTAGCGTCGCCTCGGTGCAGGCCCAGCGCGGATGATAGGCACGTGTCCTAGCACTTCATCGCACGGTCAGGTGAGGTTCGGCTCGTCCGCTGCTACTTTCCCTCGGCACATTGGCTCCGCTGCAAAGGCTACGGCTCGGCTTGCCCACGCTGCAGCGCTACGACCGCGTCACCGCCGCCGCGCCGCTACGGGGCCGAGGCGCACGCGGCGCGCACCATGGCGCTGCAGGACTGCATCTCCGAGGAGGCAAGGGAGGGTGAAGGTCAGTCACGTTACCCCTGCAGTGCCCTACGAGCCGTCACCGCCGATGCGTGCGCCATGGTGCTGCTGGACAGCGTCTCTGGGGAGGCAATGGAGGGCGAAGGTCAGCCGCGTTCCCCTTGGGTCGTCCATCTGCCGGTGACGATGCCGGGCGAAGGTCCTCGTGCGAGCAAGGATCGGTGCGCCCGAAGCCCACCACATGCTCGATGGAATGCCAGTGACAGACTTAGAACTCTGTATAAGACTGCAGTTTGATGATTGTATCCCTTCTTTGTAGGCTGAGTTTTTGTACTGATTATAGTAAACTCAGGTCCAGGACTGCAGTCAAATGCATGTCATGTGGAGGTTTCTTTTGAAATGGATAAGGTCTTTTTTTCTTAGCAGAAAAGGATAAGCAGCTCATTGTCTGCAATGACCTTGCATTCAGTAAGTATTGCTATATTTGAAATCGAACAGAGAGGATGTTCTCAAACACATCATCTAGATGTTCCGTTTAGTGTAGAAATTCAAACAGTTGCATTGACAAGACCAAACCGTTGATGACTGAATGCTTGTATGCCAAAATAAAATAAACTGCATTCAAACAGGATGCAGCTAAGTCTTACAGAGTGCTATTAATTCAAACTGGAATTAAAATGATACAATTCAGAGACCAAAAATGACTATTATTCATTGAAGTGTAACTTTCTAGAATATTTGGACAATGTGGCATCTTGTTCAACTCCAAGCAGAAGACCAGTGAGTCCACCTTGGAAGAAAGGAGCTGAAATGTTCGAAGATGACCCATGGCGGTCGGCTGCTGCCGTGAGGCGAAGGCTGGATCGTCCTCCATGTATTGCAGCGGCGAGGCGTGATCAGATTGCCTGCCACGGATCGATGACAGGCGTCGCAGATGACAACTCCAACCGCTTTTGGCGGCACTCACGTAGTCATGATGTTCGAGTCGTAGCCTTTTCCTGCGTAATTTGCGGCGATAATGGGCTTTCTAGTCTATTGGATGAGCCAAGCCGGATGGAGAGCCAGGGAGCAAGCCGACGTGCCTCGCAGCAAATTTAGCCACGACCGCTTTTTGGCTGCTGTGGCCTGTGGGATGACGTGGAAGTCTGCACGGTGCGTTGGTACAGGCCGACTGCATCTATTTTTTTTTCCGTGTTTTATTTTATTTATGTTCCTCGCTGGCAAGAGAAGCGACGGACAGTTCATCTAGCAAAAGGGGACAGGAGATCCACCCTTGATTATTGGAGATCCACGTACAGTCCCTGGTATGTCGGCCGAAAGAATACCAAAAATTCTGTTGCCCGTATATATAGCATCTGCCTTGTAATCGGAAGCAGATACGGTTCGTGATCAAAACGGAGAGATCATTCCAGCGGTTTATAAAAGAAGATCTTCCATTCTTGGTAGGCCGCCGCACCGCAAAACAAACCATCATCCCCCGGACTCATCATCATATCAGTATCATCAGTAAAACATCACGAACCCATCTCTCAACCCACGGCGGATGGCGGCGGCGGCCTACCCTCTATGGGTAATGTTGGAGCACTCCTGCGCGCGGGAGGTCCAGGGCTGCTCCTCCTCCATTGCCGACACGAACACACTGGTGAGCTGCCGCACCACCAGCGCCCATCCCATCAACGTCTCGCTCTGCCTGGCGGCGCCCCCGGAGGGGTCGCGCGTATGCGTCCAGCTTCCTGCCGGCGTCGAGGTGGACTACGACGTGGTCCTCGCGGCACACGGCGACTCCGTGGTCGTCCAGGTCGCGGGGATCAAGAACCGCGGCGCGTTCTCCAGCACCAAGTCAACTGACCACTTCGTCTACAGCGCGCGGGCGACGCTACCGCCGAACCCCCGCGGCCGCCGTCGCTGTCGCTGCTCCCGCCTCACTGCATCACCTATGAAGAAGACAAGCATCGTTGTCCCCAGTGGCACTACCTGAGGCGTAGTCCCGATCCCGAGTGTAACTGCCTGGATAGTGATAGCACCGGCCTCCTGCGCCATGGCGACGGCGATTTCTTGGTGGCGGAGCTCAAGATGGACTATGTGATGGAGGGGGAGGATCCGGGCAAAAGGCACAAGGAGGCCGCGCTCCACCTGCTCCGTTCCGGCTCTGGCGAGTGGTACGTCAAGCGGTCCGTGATCAGCCGCTATGCCGACGGCAGTGAGTGTGTGGACCTGACGTCCTGGTGGCGAAACAGCATCGTTATCCCCGTCGGCGACCAGATGCTTTGCTGGGTCGACTTGGCGCGCGGCCTCCTCTTCTCGGACGGCGTGTTTGACTAGAGCCCCAGCCTGCGGTACGTGCCGCTCCCCATGGATCCCAATTTCCGCCATCCATCGTACCGGAACGTGTGTGTCACCGGCAACGGCAGCACGATAAAGTTTGTTAACGTCTTTCCCCGCTGCTGCTGCGGTGGCGCGGGCAAATCCTACTGCCGTGCTTCTCACCATGCCTACGCCGTCCACACGTGGACGCTGAGGATGGACGACGGCATGGCCTGGGCAATGGATGGCACTCTCGACGCCGCACAGCTCTGGGCCCTTGATGGTTACAAGGGCCTCCCACGTGTCGAGCTGGACTACCCCGTCGTGAGCATGGACGAACCCGATGCCATCTGCTTCGTGGTGTGCGAGGATCATCATGAAAAACATGGTGACGAGACGACGTGGCGGATCATGGTCGATATGAAGAGCAAGACGCTTGGATCGGTCTTTCGCTACCCTGACCCCAAGGAACGGAGGTGCAATAGTTGGGAACATCTCGTTCCCAGCAGGGTCTCCAAATACTTCAACTCTAAACCAAGCAGCGGCCAGCCACCAGGTCCAGCTGCACAAGCAGAAGCTATGCAAAACTTGATGAGCTCAAGGATTAACAATAAGCTGCAAGCAATGGACACCATGCAGGCAGCTTCACTGGAGGCGGCGACCTTGGCCGCGCTTCAAGAGATACCTGGCTTGGATCGTGATGATATGCTGAAGGCCTATCGCATTCTTACCCACGACGATAGTGGCCGCCGGTTCAGATCCCTTACGGGGCTGCCAATGGATTTGAGGAAGGATTGTGTGCTGATGGAGATCAAGGCCAGTGAAGCTTGTGTTCTGTGCTCTGCATGCTCCGTGGACTTGCAACTAAACGAATGAGCGCTAGAGACACACGAGGATCTTTTTTGCTACCTTTTATGGCCTAAGTCGTGAGTTAAAACTCTGTTGTTTTTGTTTCTTTTGTGTATAGTAACATAGTAATTGGTCAATTTCTACTTGTGTTTCTTCGAATCCTATGTTTTTCTATACCTAGATAGCTAGAATATATCTTTTGAGGTATAATTGGTTCGGATGGTATGTTCTGATGTTCAACTTTGGTAGCTATTTTTTTTTCTTGGATCCAAATCAATTTTGTTTCCGCCAATCCTATCAACTGGTAATACCCTTTTTACCCTATCAATAGCCGATGAGTTAGGGGTTGATTGTTAGTAATCACAAAGTAGTTATCAAATGCGTCATATATGCTAGAATTCTATAGCAAACTACATGGTGTACGGAGGCGTATGCTTGTTTGCAGCGGCGGACCCAGAAAATATTTCAGGGGGGCTGAACAACACTGTTGTTCGATATTAAGTCTCAGCCCCCCTCTACACTATAGAATTTTGCGTAAAAATTCATAGGGGCTCCACATGGGTTCCACTGCTGCGATATGCCCCCCCCCACCGCTGTGTCCACCCCTGCTTGTTTGCTAAAATTTCATCAATACATTTCGAGTTAGACAAATCATGATTGTTATATTTGCATATGTTGCTGAATTTGTAGTTGCAACCTCCCCAGCGTACAAGGATTGAGAGTAATTGGCTAGATAATTAGCATCAACATAGCAAATTCTCTCATTCACCGGCATGTTTTGTGGTGAAACCACATATTGTGAATTTGCTGCCGATGATTAAAGTGTGAATCATCACGTTGCATGTTAGCATAATTTCTCACATGTGATGCCTCATAAGGATTGGCCAAACTCATCAAGTTAGTTTTGCCATCATAATTGTCCATCAACATATGAACTTGTTCCACTGCCGATGCATGAGAATATGCATTGAGACTTAAAGTATGTGTAGGTTGACATTGTCTCTTACATATGATAACCAGAATTTAATTTGCATGATGACAACCACTAGCAGAAAATATATTAGCTGATGCAATGCAACATGCATGCCTATTATCATTATGACTAGCAACACCAGCACTATAATTCACGGAACTTACTTGCAAGTTGGACCTCGGGCTTGATGTAATAGTATACTTCATAGCAGCACCTTGGTACGCCATGATCAATGACAGGAATTTGATCCCCTAATTGCTTTTTGCTGATCTCCACAGTAACGATAGTAGAACGTAGCATAACAGGTCAATAGTGAGTAAAACTACAGATGACCAATACCAGATGTGATTGACCTTTGTTGCCAGATGCAATGGTAGTGGCGAACACAAGAGAGATAGATCAATCAAAAAAAATTCAGCTATGAGATAAAGCCGAAACAATCGTTCCCTAGCGAAGTCATCAAAAAGTGTGTTGACGCGAATATTTGTCGCACACCTAAAGTGTTAGAATGCACAGATCTCGAATCAGGGAACCTGAGACAAAATTGTATGCATCGAACCATCCAGCGTCGGTGTAGACACGTGCATTGGACAATCACAACACCACGCTGGAGCATGTACATTCGATGAAAATATATGCACCGGACCGTTCGACGGTGGCAATATTGCACAGGCTAGAGAATCAAACACAGCTACACTGGAGCCAAGTAGGTCTAGCCAACCTAGGCCTGCAAGAGTCTCCACAACAAAGAATGCATCGGGTATGAGCCAAGTAGGTCTAGCCGACCTAGGCCTGCAAGAGGCAAGGAAATCGGCCTAGCCAACTTTGGGGTCGGCATGGCCGATCTATCCTGGGCAGATCTAAAATCTCATGGGTCTTCGCCCAAGGAACGATAACAAATCATGCTTACATGGTGAAGAATGATAAGATTTACGAGCAAACCAGCAAAGAGAAACTATCACAATTATACGATGAAGAATGGTTAAGTTGGACAAACTAGCAAAATAAAGAACCATAGAGGCCCAGGATGGACCAGTAGCTACGAGTACATTGTGACTAGACACCTTCTCCACCTCAGTCCTTGCCCACTCCATCCTACCCCACCTTCTTTACTGATCCACATGACCTCGGTCAGTTACCCCAAATCCGGGCACCTTTAACCGCCGCTGCTTCTTGACCTACTCCTGGATTGTGCCTCCATCACCATCCGACCGCCTTCAAGTCCAGCGTGCTTTTTTGTTGTGTATCACATAAACAAGTATAGAGCACATTGAACATAATCATATATAATATATAATATTCTCATCATTAACTCAACCAAAAAAAACATATTACATGTATAGTCATTATATATCACCCATATTAAAACTGATCTCCACATAGAATGTTCCAAGTCCAAAAAGTAATGCTAGTATATACATATACAAGTACTAACATAAATATAAGCTAACGCTTTTTAGATAAAGAAAATGAATCCAGGTTCATCTCTTGTGACAATGAGAATTAAACAAATTACTGTTATACAAAAGAAACAAAAACAAAGAGTATAACTCAAAACTTATTACACTACAGAGAAAGCGCTCTCTTGCTTAATCGCTTGCCCGGTCGGCAAAGGCATAAACCTCAGTCGGCAAAGGCTTTGCCGACCGCAGCTCACGTGGCGGTCGGCAAAAGAGCAATCGGCAAAGCCTGGGTCGGCAAAAGCGGATTTGCCGACCGCCACGGCACACTGATCGGCAAATCCTTTGCCAATCGCCACGCCTTGCCAATCGGCATAGTTACGTGGCGCCGTCGACCTGACGGCGAGGCTTTATTGATCTTTGGTTCCTCGGCAATCGGCAAAGAATTATTTTTCAAAATTGTTTGCCGGTGGCGCCGCCAACTTCGGCAAATCGGCAAAGAAAGAATTTTTTTTGAAATGTTCTTTGCCGATCGCTTTGAGTTGCAATCGGCAAAGATTCTTCACAGGTTTTTTTTGACTTTGCCGATATGTAAGCGATCGGCAAAGCTGGAATTTTTTTTTCTTTGCCGACTGCTTTCGGAGTTGCAGTCGGCAAAGATTCTTCCTGGGTTTTTTTGCCCAGCTTTGCCGACTGTAAACAGTCGGCAAAGCTGGAATTTTTTTTTTGCTTTTGTTTTCTATTTTCTCGCATCAAAACCCTGCAAAATCACAAATTATAATCCAATTTCACCAGAAGCACCGGTAGCACCATTTATATCACAATTTCATCACATTTGTCGCCAACATCACCACATATATCACAATAACGCACAACATCACATATATGTCACAATAACAACCACACAAGTGCATTACAACCATCACATGAAGTCCAACACGTCGAACACCACAAGTCGACGTCCATCACACGAAGTTCAACATAACAAGTCTAGGTCCATAACGAAGAAAAGAAATACATGACAACAACTTCGACGATACGGTGGATACATGATAACAGAATCGACAAGTACCTAGCTCGTCGCGCCGTCCCCGGTCTCGTCGTCCGCTCCGCCCCCAGAGCCCCCAGGGTTTGCCCACGGAAACCCCCTTGGACCAAGCGAGAGGCCATAGCAGATCGCCACCCTCCGGCAAGACCGTGTGCCACCACGAGTACGTCGGAGGAGGGCCACGCGGAGGTGGATACGGTGGATAGGGTGCAGGTGGTGGATACGACATCATCTGATGGCCGGGACCTCCAGAGACGGGTTCGAACTCCGCCATCGTACTCGCACAAGTTAAACGCCAAGTGATGTCATTAGTATCTGCAGCATGGACGCACAAGTTAAAGCAAGAGTCAATATACTCACGGGGGGTCCCTCCAGGAGCGGCGAGGAGCAGCACAGGGAAAAAACTCGGAGGAGGAGGCGGTGGAGCGAACATTGGAAGAGGAGGCGGTGTAGGCGCCCGAGGCGTCTGCATGGACTGGAAGAAGCTGGCCATGTTCTCGCATATGAGTGTTGTAGTCTTGCTGCAGCTTGCTTTTGGTAAGCCATCATTGCGCCATCATCTGCGGCGTGCAACGTGGCGATCCTCTCCTCCATCTTGGCCTCCATCGGGCTCGCAATATTACATCCGCAGTGTTGATTGTATGTACAAAAAGTAAACGAGTGAACGACGAGCGAAACGGCACTTACTGTGTGACGCCGATCGCCGCCGGGCGATCACGGGGATGTCGCTGGAGCTCGTGGGCGTGGATCGAACTCAGGTCGGCAGTAGGAACACAGGGACGGGTCGAGGGCGCTGTGGGCCATGTAGTAGCGGTTGCTTGCCGCTTCTTCCTGGTCCCAACCTCTGCGGGGAGGTTCGTGTCGAGGGGCTCGGCGGTGGGGTCAAAGCGTCTCCCGTGGTATTTGGCGAGCAGCGACGGTGTACTCGGTGGCCTTCTCGTAGGCGGTGGGGTTGGTGTACGATCGGGCCCGTCCTCCGGGTTGTAGAGCGTTGTTCGGATCCGTCGCCTTGCTTGCCCTTGTGAGAGAGGAGGTACGCGGTGTACTCGTTGATTTCACGCCCACCGTGCGTCTGCGTCGCATTGAAAACACAAACATGGTTACAAGTATTGACAATTGAGCGCAAGGATTAAGACATGAACGGACGATACCCATCTTGTCGCGAGGCGGGAGGGGCTGATTCCCTTGGTGGTGTGACACCCTCGATCTGTGGCGGCGGCCTCGGTCGGCGGCGCCTCGCCACAGACGCGCCTCATCCAAGGCGCCACATGCGCACAATCTCCGCCCCGGCATTCCTCGTGGTTTGTCGCACCACGACGGACACACCCGCATGACATCAAGTATTTGACATGCGAGAAGATTAGTGTAATGTTTTCAAGGAATCTGAGCGAATGTTGTCATACTTAATTACCGTCAGATTGCGCTTGGGTGAGGTCGGCCTCCCTCGAGTTCATTCTCTGGCGGACGGGCTGCGGACGGGCGGAGACGAGCGGGCACGCCGGATCGGGGGTGGGGCAGCGGACGGCGCAGGCAGGAAGGAGCGGCGAGCCATGCGGCTTGGCCGACGCCGAGTCGCACGCTGGGCGCCTGGGCTGGATCGGCGGAT